CAAATGGTAGTGAACTAGAATGCAAAGTCGAGTCTCTCGGGTTCGAGTCCCCGTCAAGAATGTCTTTTTTTCTATTTGAATTTTGTGCACACAATCGTGCTGCTCCGTTCTGCTCCGTTCAATCGGCTGCTCTCGGTTCCAAACTCCAAACAATACCTGTTTTCAAATTGATGATTCGAATTTTGAGGAAATTGGAAAACAAGAAAATTGTGCTTCGTTTGCATTTATGTCTTGTGCTCGTTGTTTTGTTTTTTTTTCAATTTTGTCGATAAGTGTCAACATTGTTTATTTATGTTGTTTTTATCCATTAAAATCAATTTTTTAGACTAAAAAAGGATTGTACAGTCGAACCTCTCTATAACGAACCTCGATATAACGTAAACCTCTCTATAACGTAAGGCGTGACCGGTCCCGGCCAAATGTAATACAAAATGTCTATAAAAAAACCTCGATATAACGTAACTCTGTATAACGTAAACCTCTATACAACGGAAAATTTTGCCTGAAAATATGCAATTTTTTGTTCCATATAACGGATTTTATGCTAAAACGTGGATATTCCTTCCAACTACCATGCTCTTTGGATGGACTATTGTGTGGGACAATCTGTGGCCTTTTGCCACAATTTAAAAGAAGAAAAAAAATCACTTACATAGATTCTTAATAAGTTTTTTGCGTTCATATATCGTTCACTTATTCTTTTTACGTGCTTATTTTCTGTATTAAATGGTATTTATCATTTTTCAGGCGATGGAGCGAAAGAAGGCGACCCGGAAAAGGATCGATCTAGCTGAAAAAAAGCGAATTCTTGATGCTTCAACTTCGAAAGGAGTAACGGATTTAGCAAGGGAATTCAAGCGGCCAATTTCGACCATTTCTTCGATTTTGGGCCAAAAGCAAACGATTTCTAATGCGATCAATGACGGTTCTCAGGGCAAGCGAGCACGAGTGAAGAATAGCAAACACGAGGACCTGGAAGGTGCGGTTATTTCTTGGTTGAAAGAGATTCGAAGCAACAATGAATGTGTAGACGGAAATTTGCTTCGAACAAAAGCTCTGGAGCTTGCAAAGTTGATGGGTATTACCGATTTCCGAGCTAGCAATGGATGGCTAGAAAAGCTGAAGCATAGGCATGGCATTGTTTTTCGTTCCCTACAAGGAGAAGCAGCCGAAATCGACCTAAACAATGTTGAGCAGTGGAAAGATGAAGTATTGAAGGGACTCGTGAAAGAATTTGAGCCAAAGAATGTTTTTAACTTGGATGAAACAGCTCTTTTTTACAAGTTAACGCCGAATAAAACGTTGTCTTTCAAAGGCGATAGATGCACAAGTGGAAAGAAGAGCAAGGATAGAGTCACTGTTCTCGTCGGATCAAATATGGATGGAAGCGAAAGATGCCCTTTATTCGTGATTGGTAAATCGAAGCATCCGCGTTGCTTTAAGGATGTCAAAAAACTTCCTGTTTTGTACGAAGCAAATTCAAGAGCGTGGATGACCAGCGAATTATTTGAGAGCTATCTCAAGAAATGGAATTCAAATTTGATCAAATTTAATCGGGAAATTTTGTTGTTTATTGATAACTGTCCAGCACATCCGAAGCTCAATTTATCAAACATTCAGATTAAATTCTTTTTGCCGAATGCAACTGCGGCAATCCAACCAATGGATATGGGAATAATTAAAAATCTGAAGGTCAGATACCGAACAGGATTGTTGAAACAAAGAATTGCAGCTGTCGATGCAAAGGCCAAATTAGAATTTAATCTTTTGGATGCACTATACTTACTCGAAGAATCCTGGAATGACGTTAAAGTGGAGACGCTTTCAAATTGTTTTCGTAAGGCCGGATTCAAGAGATGTATGCAAGATGAGCCGCCATTTATCGAAAACAATAACGACGACGATAACTCGCTACAATCATTGCAGGCTATCTGGAATCAACTTATTGATAGTGAAGACGTTGATCGATCAATCAATCCTTTGGAATTTGCTTGCGCCGAGGAAAATGTTGTGACTACAGGGTTAAGATCGCTAGAGGAAATTGCACTAGCTGCTAAAGGTACAGATTATATCGTTTAAAGTAATGCTAATTTAAGGAAAGGTCAATTATGTTTCCTTAGGTTCGCAACTACAGTCGATTTCTTCTGATAGCGAGGATGATGAGCCAATCGTTGAAGACGTGGAAGAGCCGATAGTGACACGATCCGAGGCATATCTACATCTTCAAAGCTCAAGATATTTGTGAGGAATAACCCTAATTCCGAAATTGTTAAGGCTTTAGCAACTTTTGATAATTTTTTCTTTGATCAGGCTTTTTTTTTCTCCTAAACAATCCCGTTTGACTAACTTTTTTGTTAAACTTTGATGCTTGTTGATAATTTTTTTACCTTTTTTGTTGAGTTTTTGCAATAAATATGTCCAATACCTCTACATAAAGTAATGGTTGCAATAAACCCTGCGTTTTTGATTCTATATAACAAAACCTCGATATAACGTAAACCTCTATATAACGTAAACTATAGCCGGTCCCGTGAGTTACGTTGTAGAGAGGTTCGACTGTATTAAGAAAGGAGAACAGTTAATTTGGTTAAAGCAAAAACCAGCAAAGAAATGTTCAAACCAGAGACTCGAAACGGCGAGACTCGACTTTGTATTCTCGTTCACTACCACTTGGCCACGACCGACGCTTTTCGAACGCGGTAAACTCGACTATGATGTCGCTCAAAAGGCAAATGTAAATGATTTTTAAAAGAGAATGCATTTTCGATGCAATTCGTATTAGATTAGTTTTATAAGCAGTTTTCTTTATAAATAGTAACCCCAAAGCCCACTTGTACAAATATTTTATGATTAGATTAGATTTGTAGTTGAAACGGAAAACACTCAAACCATTTAAAGCTAAAAGAAGCAAAAAAAAAAGTCAACGCCGGACTCGAACCTGCTTTGTCTAGGACTTGCTTTGTATCCAAGCCTACTGCCACTGCGCCACTAGGACACCTGGTCATCTCTGTAAAGTCAATTTATAAACTTATTGTCAGGGTTTCCTGCGGTTTCATCCAACTCCAACTTTGAGCGTTTATAACTTTTGACAGAGTGCTGTGTTTCAAAAACGAAAAGCAGATTCGGAATCAGCGTCAAATTCTACGTTGATTAGTATATTTCATTTGGCCATCACACGCTATTAACATCCCCTTGTTAGTATTTACAAATTTCCCTCAAAAACTCTACTTCCCCAACCACTAGAGACTACATTCTGATGATACAAATGAGTGTTGACCATCGAGCTCATAAAAGTATTGGGAGGGGAGGGGAAATCGATCGAGATGAGTCATCGTCTGATTGGGGTGGCTGAATGATTGGATGTATGGATCTCACCAATTTTTATAATCTTTCCTCAACTCTATGCTCTAGATATCCCCTCTAAACAACGTATTATGCTCATCAACGACGGCTCATCTCGTCCACCGCACACAAAAAAAAACTAGCTTTACCTCTATAAATTGGCCTACAAAACGACCATTTAAACCGCTTCCAATCGGTGATCTCTCATTTTTTTTCTCGATATTCATTCTACAGTAGGCTATTTGAATGGAAATCTGGAATAAATTTCCTAAATTTCCTAAAGAAATCTTTCACGCATAACCTTGTCTTGTTTATTGTTTGCTTTAATTTACCCACTTAGTTGAACCGTAGCTGAATAGAATAGTAGTAACTTACAACTAGTTACAGTAGGAAAAGCTATTTAAAGCCACTTATATTATCGATAAATTTATACGACTAAACTAGGACTCTAGTTTCTACTCTACTCCTGGTTACTGTAGTCAAATTGAAGGTTACGGTAGTCAAATTGAAGGTTACGGTAGTCAAATTGAAGGTCACTGTAGTCAAGTTGAAGGTTACTGTAGTCAAGTTGAAGGTTACTGTAGTCAAGTTGAAGGTTACTGTAGTCAAATTGAAGGTTACTGTAGTCAAATTGAAGGTTACTGTAGTCAAATTGATACACTTTCTTAGTTTCAATAGTATACAATGTATTACGATTTAGATTGAGAAATTGAGAGAAAATTGAGAATTTTTTCAGAACTACAGTACTGGACAATGAAATATCATATTTGAAAAACGATCGTCACTTTCGCGCGCCTGTAACTCCCTTGTCTTTGAGTTTAAACTATTAGTGTTATACATTTTCTGAAAGCTCTTTTCAAGGGCTACACATTGGTAATATTAATATTTAGAAATACGGTAAAGACAAGGGAGTTACAGACGCGCGAAAGTGACGATCTTCTTTCAAATATGATATTTCATTGTCCAGTAGTGTATCATTCAGTCAGTCATATGACGGAGTGCGGCATTCGTGTTGCGCTTAATGGCTTTCTAGGGCAATACATTAATATTCTTTTTGGCTTTCTAGGGCAATACATTAACCGAAGCTAAAAAACAACAATTAATCATCAAATCTACGCGTAATTTTACACAGAATAGGAGAACCGTAATGTAAATTTGTCAAAAATGTATCCATCTTTGTTAGACAAGATAACATGCCTCTCTGCCAAGAAAATGAAAGAGCAAAGTCTTTAAACAAAAGCAAGGTCTTTAAACAAAAAAGAAGGAGCAAAGTCTTTAAACAAAATATTTTTTTGTTTTCCTTCTGATCCTTTCTTTAGATTTAAATATTTAACTTTTTTTCCTTTTTTGCTAAATCATAACCAAATTTTCTGCCAATTCCAGGATGAGGCTCTTGTTGTTGACTCTTTTCGTCGTCGCCGTTTGCGCGCACTCACACGAGTCGCATTCCGAAGAAAAAGGTGACTTTTTGAAGAATAGCAAAGTTTTATTTGATAATAAAGAAATTAAATGATCATGACTAGTTTAGGAAATGATTTAATTCCAGCAACAACAATGATCCCATTGAATAGCTTTTAAGCTTCTCCAATTTCAAAAAACTCCAATTGAATAGGTTCTCCAATTCCAGCAACAACTCCGGCATCGAGAGCTCGACGCGGCCTGGCTGAGCCCACTCATGGACCCCCGAAAACCGAACCCCATGAGGGAGATGAGAATGAGCAGGTAGAGAAATGAATTTTAGTCAATATAAATATAAAAAACCTGATAAACTGCTTATTCGGTAAACTTGGACTAATATAATTAAAGATTGGAAATTTTAAAGTCAAACTTGAAAGTCAAACTCGAAAGTCAAATCATCTGTGTAGTTAGTTCTGGCTTTTATGATGATTTTTTATCATTTTGACTTAACAATATACAATGAAAGCTTTCAATACCGTAAATAGTATTCAAAGTTGTCGAATAGCTGAATAGAATGCTGCATAGAATAGAAAGGCTTACGGTAAAAGTCTACAGTAAATGGTCGACTGATTGACGGCTTTATTGACGAGACGAATAATTTCTATTCAATGTAAAAGATCAAGTTTTAGGGAGAAGAGAAAGAGAAGCCTGAAGACAGACAAAGAAGGGATACGTCAAAGGAAGAAGGAGACAATAAAGGAGACAAAGAAGGAGACAATAAAGGATCCGATGAAGTAGTGCCTACCTCTGCCAAGCCACGAAGCAGAAGACATTCATCAACTGAGGTGATAGCTTTAAATGTTATCAAATTGAAAACAGCTTTTATACAATATTTATACAATATTTATACAATTTTTTAGGAAAATGGCGAGAAGAAATCGTCTGAGAAAGAGGAGAAAGGCCACGGACACGAATCGACCACTGAGAAGCCACGAAGCAGGAGACATGCCTCGGCTGAGGTATGGACTTTAGATAGATTTTAGATCGATTTTAGATAGATTTTAGATCGAATTTTAAATGAATAACTAAATATTTAATATTTGAATATGTTTTACAAAGAGATTACTTAGTAGTTTAGGCTAACGACGAGAAGAAATCGTCGGAAAAAGAGGAGAAAGGCGAAAAACACGACCACCCATCAACCACCACGGGCCCCCGACAACAACGTGATGTGGCTGAAGTGAAGATTGGAGGAGGTGAAACTTGGATTTGTCAACAATAGACTTTAGATTAAATCTAATCAAATCAAATCAAATCAATCAAAATGTCTTTGTCTCAGTTTTCGGCAACTTTTAAAGGATACTGTGAAGTCTTGCATTACCGTAACCTGTCTAGTGTCTTGCTTTACCGTAACCTATCTAGTGTCTTGTTTTACCGTAACCTGTCTAGTGTCTTGCGTTATCGTAACCTGTCTGGTGTCTTGCGTTACCGTAACCTGTCTAGTGTCTTACGTCACCGTAATCTGTCTAGTGTCTTACGTTACCCTAACCTATCTAGTGTCCTGCATTACCATAACCTGTCTCGTGGCTTGCATTCCCGTCACTTGTCTAGTGTCTTGCATTACCGTAACCTGTCTAGTGTCTTGCATTACCGTAACCTGTCTAGTGTCTTGCGTAATCTAAAATAGACAAGTATTACTGTAGCTAGGGCAAACGATAGACAGGTGTACGGTTTTCAAAATTGCTTTCACAGAAAAGAAATTCAACCTTGATACTGTAAAAAGATAGATTTTTATAGTTTTATCATTTATTTAATAGCTAGAAGAGAGTGCAATGGACTAATTGCACTAATTCTAATTCAAGGACTAATTGCACCTGAAAAAGTACTCTTTGTTACTGTATTTCTATAAAATATGACCGTTAGAGTAAACAATTCTTTACACTACACTTCTAGTACTTAAGCTTCTCGATAACTTAAAATACCCCACCAGCTGGGTCCGATCAAAGAGTTTTATCCATAAGAGAAAAGAAAACCCCCAGTTGTATCCTGGTCTCATTTGAGAGCCATTTATGGCATTCAGATCTATAGCAAAAGAAACTTGTAGTTAGAAATTTATATAATAGGTTGATGCATAAGTGTTTTTGTTCCTTTTCGTCTGCCGTTTCAAGCCAACAAATGCACCAATTAAACTACGGTTGATTTCATTAGAAAAAGCAATTATTTTTCTGCAAAATAACATTAAAACGGGTTTAAAAATATTTAATGCCTGGATTTTCTTGAGAGTATGAAGTCGGGTAGTCAAAAAGGGCTAACTCGATGATGCGGTTTAGACACCTTAGCTAAAGAAAACCTATCTTCGTGTCAATAGATAAAAGATAGAGAAAAAAAAGTTTGATATTTCGCCAAAATTTCAGAGAAATTCATTCAGCCAATTTTTCCGTAGAGTTTTTTATAGATTTTTACGAAAAAGGCGTTTTTCACTCTCGAATTTGCTTGAAAGTGAACCGAAATTCATTTAAAAGATGCAAATTGAACAAAAAAACACTTTTTTTATAGAGCAAACTATAGATTAATTGGTGAATTTGTTACTTTTTAACAGAAGTACGAAAAAAACGAAAAGACTTATGCATCAACCTAATAATTATTTAATATTGAATCCAGGTACCACCGAGAAATCGCACCATCATAGCACAGAAAGCGACGAAACGAAAGAACACCACGATCACGAGCATCATCACGAGAAATCAGAAAAACCTGAGAAATTCGATGGTTCCTCAACGCCTCCACACCATCATGAAGAACCAAAATTGACGACAAAAGCTTAAATGTTTAGATAAACGCAATTTTTTAAACCTTTCAAAAACCGGATTTACGTTTCTCTTCTCTCAATAAACTTTCAATGTTTATTCACTAGAGTTTACTCAAAAAAAAACACTCGTAATATGGCACACCGAATCTCCAGGAAAAGAAAACGAGTACGCGTAGATTGGGGAAAAAGATTAAAGCTTGAAAAAATGAGAAAAAAAGCATTTGCATTCAATATTCTTTTGTAGTTATTCTCTCCATGGTTGAAGGTTGAGCTTCGGAAGTGAGGCACAAGAGCTCATTTGAGAGCCGCTTTCGTCAATCGAGAACGCTCTGGAAATAGCGATTTTAAATGATTAATTGAATAGATTATGGTTTATTCAAATTCAGCTTATCATTTGAATTCCAAAAATTTTCATATAACTCGAAAATATTCAGAGTATAAAGGACTGAAGCTTCGAAAGCCCTAATGTAGATCAGCAAGATCAGCAAGATCAGCAAGATCAGCAAGATCAGCAAGATCAGCAAGATCAGCAAGATCAGCAAGATCAGCAAGATCAGCAAGATCAGCAAGATCAGCAAGATCAGCAAGATCAGCAAGATCAGCAAGATCAGCAAGATCAGCAAGATCAGCAAGATCAGCAAGATCAGCAAGATCAGCAAGATCAGCAAGATCAGCAAGATCCAGCAAGATCAGCAAGATCAGCAAGATCAGCAAGATCAGCAAGATCAGCAAGATCAGCAAGATCAGCAAGATCAGCAAGATCAGCAAGATCAGCAAGATCAGCAAGATCAGCAAGATCAGCAAGATCAGCAAGATCAGCAAGATCAGCAAGATCAGAACTCTCATAAGTTTTGTTTACTTATGAGCACTTAGCTAACGAATATGAATTTGGTTTTAGGAACAAAATTAGCTAAACAACTTTACAAAGCTTAAACATCGCAAAAGCCAAAGCTCGAATTCAACTGTGTGATTTTTTTGAGTAAATATTTGAGGGGCTAAGTTTTAGGTGTAAAGCTTTAGAGGAATTAAGCTTTCTTAGCTTTCTTTTTCATAAACCAACTTTGAGAGCGCTAAACGATTTGCGAGCTTAAAAGTCCCGACAAATGTTTGAGCACTCTGTTGTTAGATTTTTAGCACTTTTTTTCTCAAATTCCTCTTTAAAACCAATACAGACACCTCATGGAAGCCATGAAAAGCCACCCGGCTTGCTTTTGCCTCGTCATCTTGCGAAAATTCCCCTCCATTTTCAAGTGCAAGTAATAATTTCAATGAAAAACACAATAAATCACTTACACATAGCAATTCTATTTTGTATTTTGAACTCTTTTGATCTCTCATCATTTGTGTTTTTCATCAAAAACCAGCTTACCTTGCCGGGATTTGCCCAAATGTGGTGGCTGATGTATCGCAGAGTACCCAAGCAAGTGTTACCTAGACAAAATAAATTTTCGTACAACTGAAAGGGAACTTCAAGTTATTCAAGTAGAAATATACAACAAAGTTAATGATGTTTTCTGAATTTAAAAGTTTAACTATAATTTTAAAGCTTCTACAATTTTATCGATATTACCTTTTTCTAAACTTAAATTCCCGTGCCAAGTCAAGCTAAAGCTTGGGTTTAAAATTTTCAATTTGTTTAACTCAAATAATGAAAAATTTCATTATTTTAGTGTGGTATGGTCTTGATTTGTTTTAACTTTAGTCTGGTTGTTAAAGCGGTTGTTAAATGGCTGTTAAATGGGTGTTAAATGGCTGTTAAATGGCTGTTAAATGGTTGTTAAATGACTCTTAAATCGGCTGTTAAATGGCTGTTAAATGACTGTTAAATCGGTTATTAAATGGCTGTTAAATCGGCTGTTAAATGGCTGTTAAATGGCTCTTAAATCGGCTGTTAAATGGCTGTTAAATGGTTGTTAAATCGGCTGTTAAATGGCTGTTAAATCGGCTGTTAAATAGCTGTTAAATAGCTATGGCTGTTAAATCGATTATCAACAGCTTTGTGCAACACTTAGTTTAAACACACACAATGATTCAAAGCCATTATCCATTCAATCAGGAAACTGACCTGTTTGATCGCCTCACGTTGCTCGTCGCTGAAGATGCTCGGATTCTCAAAGTAGAATCTGAAAAAGATAAACGATTTTGATTCAAAATAGTTTCACTTAATCTAAAAAGCGAATTTTCCAACTCACCGATCCCCGTCTCTCAATCGAGTGAATTGCTCGGCGATGATGCACGAAAAGGTCGGTCCAAGCACACTGTTCCCCACTGGATCCTCGACAAGACCTAGAAATTTGAACAATCACCAGAAAATATCATATTCTGTATCTAGTTTTATTGATTTTAGTGCCAAATTTAACTCACCGCCCACATACAAATCGATTCGGCCGACATTTCCGTTGTAGAGCTCGCGGATGCGGTTGCGCACTGCTTGATCTTTAACCTCAGGCCACTAAATTTCAAGTTAATCCCCTGAACGCTATAAAATGAAAGATATTTAGTTTAGCTAATTCACATCATCAAACGATCGCAACGGGCTGAGATTGCAGAGTTGGCGGTAGTCGTTGTAGGGACGGATTCCGTGATCTCGACCTCTGCAAGTGTATTTGAAGGGATTTGAATGGATAATGGCTTGGGATAATGGCAAAAATTCATAAACTTTACTGGGAGCTTGATCAACTAGCCATGGCAACCGAATTGGGCAACGGAATTGGGAGCTACAGAGTATTCGAATTCAGATCGAATCAGGACCGAATTTTCTAGCCCAAATCAGGCAAAACCGAGCTGGCTTAGTTGAAGATTCCAAAGAAATCTGGACCGGAAATTGCCCGCTATCTATCGGGAATCTGTGCCAGATGGAGAGTGATTACGCTGCCGCACAAAGAACCCTCAGAAGTTTACAACAATTTTACATTGTGACACAAAAATTATTCAGCTAATTTGTACCTACCGTAAATACTGTAATAGTACCCCACCCCTATAATGACGGTGCGGAGCGTTACGTAGTCTAGCTTTGGACGCGTTTTTCTCGACACTGGTTTATGCTACAATGCGCGCTTAGGTATGAAAAAATAGCTGAAATTCAGGGCTATTTTTTGATACCAAAGACACATTTTTTGAAAGTACGGGTGCTTTGAAAAAAATGAAATACTAAAAAACCTTTGCGACTACGCGACTGTACGAGGGGGGTGGGGTACTATTACAGTATTTACGATAGGGTTTTCGGGATCCGGATCAATTGGAGCATTTATTTAGCCCAATCAGTTCAAATTTAAAAGTCATCCAAAACATTTAAGAGCTTTCACTCACCTCTGAATGTTCACTGATCCCATATCGCTGCTGATGAACGTCTCTGTCATAAAAGTCGTGATTCTTTGCGGAGAGCGAGCCGGCGTTTGCATAAGGCCTCTGAAAGTTGGGGAAAATTTTGACTCAAACAGAAATTGGTTCAAATTAAATGAGTCTTTTTTATCTAGACATCTAGACATAAATAGCTGTTAAATAGCAATCAATTTAGCTGTCAATTTTAGCCATAAAACCCACCTGTAGAGATCGTCCATGAAATTACCGCCAATGATGCGTCGAACCTGATATTTTAGTTTTTTTTTTTTGCTTAAATTTCTCTGATCTAAACTTTTATAGCTTTTTAGCTTATCTACATTGTAAGTTTTTCAAAAACCTTAAACAACCTGCTGGAAAGTGTCTTGCATCGGCACGTTGCCCACCGTTCGAAAGCCTGAGTCCTTGAGTGGATAGAATTCCTGAATGGCAAAGAATTTGGAATTGGGAATTGGGAATTAAAATCTGAACCTTCTGCTTACCAGATAGATGTTCTACCACTAGGCTATCGGCGCCTTATTTTCCCAAGAAGAAATAGGAAAGACAAGGAAGAGAAAGAGAAGGAAGGAAGAGAAGGAAGAGAGAGAAGAAAGAAAGAAAGTGAAAGAAAAGCTTCAGTTACCTCTATAGATTATAGATACTTAGCAAATAACCAACTTGAATCATTCCGTGAAGTCGGAAAGCCGCTGAAGAGAACTCGTTGAGAATCGACGGGTTCACCGTGGAGTCGTAGCTGAAATTTGAGAACGAACTTTAAAAAAGACTCAAGATAATGGTTGAGACAATGATCTTTTTAAACTTCTCTAATTCATCTAATCAAAAAATGCAAATTCACCCTCGGTATTGTGGGACGAGTCGCTGGAAGAATGGGCCAAGGATAGCTGGGACGAACTCTTGGTAGACGATTGCCTGGAATCAATTTTCTTCTGGTTGCCACTCTAAAGTGTACTCGAGCTACCGTACTGTCTATATCTACACATTATTGAACTCGGTTACGGTAGCTGGAGCAGTTACAGTAATCTAGGTCGCTGAGCACAGGAGAATTAACCTAAAGCGAACCCTACCGTAACCCCAGTGTTCACTTTATGACCGATATTGAACTGATGAGGTTACGGTAACTTAAGCACGCTCTAGAGCAGCTACTTTCTATTCCTACACATTGAATTTGGCTACGGTAGCTTCCTCAAAATCCTAAGCCTATCCCACCTGTGTGACAGCTCCGACGATTTTCCTCGTCTCGTGAAAGACTCGATCTTGATTCCAGTGAGTGTTGATGTTTTGCAATTGACCAGCAATGCTGAAATGATTCTAATACAGTCAGCCATAAAGCATAGCATTTCTGCTAAACTTTTAAAACCGACTTGTTGTGCAAGCGAACGAAAGTCGTATGGAACATGGCTAAACCGGTGAAGATTCCATTGCTAAACAGTGAATTGATATCAATTTGATCAATTTGATTGCTTTTTCAATTACCGACTGTCGCCCACATCGAGCTCTTGTTTCTGTGCAAAGATTGGAGGGAAAGCCATTCCACCGAGAACACTTGTCCTCATGAAGGCGCCAATCCGGGCACCCTCCGCATTTCTCGCGTTCGAATGGTAGACCTAAAATGTATTTGATATCAGTTAACCCTGGTAGTTCCGCAAAAAAAACAAGATAAATGTAAATGTATGAAAATAAATGTAAAACAAGATAAATGCTCTAGTCTGGTACGGGAAAATGGTCAAAAATTGCTTTATTATTTTTAAATTCACTCATTCAGCTTAAATCTATTCAAAACTATTCAAAATTAGGATAAAACTTGTTAGAATTTAATGTTAAGAGATCAATTTGCATATTAGCTTGTTAGCGAAAGTAGTGTCAATCTATTTTATCGATTATTGGGTTGGTGAATTGAAAACTGCCGGCTATTGTCATATGTGACAGTTTGAGCACTTTCTTCAAAAGAAATCCATTTTGGTGTCAATGGAAAAGTTGTAGAGAATCAAAAATTAGGCTTATAGCCAAATTTCCAAAAAGATACACTTAGTAGTTTCGCTTAAAATTTGTGCGTTCTGTGAGTTCTTGGTGCGAATTGCTCGTCGTCTGGCGCAGGGCTTTCACATAAGTCCCTTCCCCTCTCCCTTTAACAAACTAATCTGGGCGCTTTGAATCCTCAAATTGGACATCGACTTCTCCGCAAATCAAGGCTAATCTCAATCTATTGGGTTGGTGAATTGAGAACGGCCGGCTATTGTCACTCAGTGACAGTTTGAGCACTTTCTTCAAAAGAAACTCATTTTGGTGTCAATGGGAAAGTTGTAGAGAATCAAAAATCAAGCTTATATCCAAATTTTCAGAACGATTCAAAAACTAGTTTTTAAGAAATGCCAAATTTACGAATTTTCACAAAACTTGCATTTTAAGCGAAACTACTAAGTGTATCTTTTTTGGAAATTTGGCTATAAGCCTAATTTTTGATTCTCTACAACTTTTCTATTGACACCAAAATGGGTTTCTTTTGAAGAAAGTGCTCAAACTGGGACACCTCCAGTCCTTGATTTTTGAGTCTCACACTTGTCTCACACACAAACCAAAATCCTACTACGAAAGAGGAATCCGCAAATTGCCTGTAAAATGGGCAGAAGTCGTCAATAATAATGGAAATTATTTGAAATGAATTGATTGTTTTATGTTGAATAAATTTTAGTTCAAAGTCCGGCAGTTTTCAATTCACCAACCCAATAGATTACGATACTCTTGAATCCTAATCTTCTCTAGCTTCTTACCGTACTGGCATCAATGAAAGCCGTATTTTCATTGATTTGTTGTCGAATGGAGCCCAGTTGAGAGGCACATGCGGGAATCGCTCTCTTGAAATTGATACAAGACACGGATCGGGATCTGTGGTAGAATTTTGTAAATGATCAATGATAAATAACGTTTATGAATAGTAACTATTAGATCGATAGCTATAGTAACAAATTTTCTATACTATAGTATAGAAACTACAAATTTTCTATACTACAGCAAGTTTCCTATACTACTACAGTTCTGTAGCTCATCTAGTTTGCCAAAAATGCACTTGTTGAATAAAGGACAAAGCATGAGTCAAGGTAAAAAAGTTTCTAATCAATTTTTGTATCACCTTGGATCAGTTCCAGGAATCGGAATGTTCAGACATTGAGCTGAATTGTCTCCACAAGCGCACTGCCCTTGCAAGGCGTTTTTTGTAATGTCATGCGAGAGGAATTGACCAAAAGACATCACCAACGAGTTTGCCTAGATTAAAAAGATTAATATTAACAAATCGCTCTCAATCGATCTCATACCGTCGGCTTATTAATGCTAAAAATATACCTTCAACGGGATGACGGCTCGATTCGACAGAAGAAAAGTGACAAGTGAGCGAGCTGAGGGACGACCTTGCACTAAAAATTTCTTAGAATTTATATATTCTATTCTATAGATCTATTCTATTAGGTTGGTGGGAAAATAATCGAAATTTGGAACCTCTAACTTCAAGTCCAAAACTAAAAGTCAATAACAAATGAATTTATTCAAAGTAAAAACCATCAGCATCTATACAATGCTGCCAACGCAAAACAAGTTTTCCAATTCCATCAGAATAGAAATTTGGCGTTCTCGAGTCGATAAGCTGTTGGAAAGCGTTTTCGACCTCGCCTTGATTCTTGAACTGTTTATTTTCTAGAAAATGGCACAGACGCTTGAAAAAGTGGAAAGATCTGGTAGGAGAAAGATCTGGTGAGTAAGGTGGGTGACTAAGAATTTCGTAGCTCAGCTCGCTCAATTTTTTGATGGTTTTGGTTGAAATATGCGAAATCATCAATGACGTAAAAGGACTTTTAAAATCAAAGACAAAGTTTGAGTCTTGTTTATTTTGACTATTTTCCCACCAACCTAATATTTACAAGCTTATCCGTTTTTCTCGGAAATCCGAATGTTTTCAGTGTGAAAAGCTATCATATGCAAACCCTTTGTCCCAAGAAAAGTCAAGAGAATCGAATCGGCTTTGGATTTTGCATACAGGGTGCGGCATAAGTATGGTTACAGACTCAGAACCGTGTATCGTAATGAAATATGAACGGATTCATGTATTGATTCGCTTGCGCTTGATTCGTTTCTTAATCATTTTCTTGAGTTTCGTGTGATCAATTTTTGGCCTGACCACTTTTAGTAAGCTCTTCGACTTTATTTTGTTGCAAAATGCAGTATACCGTCATTCGATGCCTTTTCAGCAGTTTGGCAATATCCAAAGTTGAGCATCCCTGTGCTCCAAGCTGAAGAATAGGGGCACGGATGGGAGAAGCCTTCACCACTATGTCCAAACTTAAAAATTTGCTTAAAAACTGCTACATAATATAAAAAAGCATTCAAATTTAAAAAAAAAATAATCCTTTGGCAAGAAATAAAAATCAATCAGTTTCTTAAATCAATGTTACAACCTTGTAACCATACTTATGCCGCACCCTGTATGATAGCTTTTCACAATGAAAAAAACCCAGCTTTCCAGAAGAATCAGATCATCTAATGGATCGGATTTGATAAACCTTCATAAACTCTAAAACCGAACTGTTTGGCGCTTGTACTCCGTCATCATACTGCGCGGTGAGAAGTCGGCTGTACGTGGTGTAGGCTGAGCCCTAGAATTCGGTAATTAGCATAAAATGAGTTGAAAGAGACCTCCAAAGTTCTCTGCAAATTGTTACAAGTGCCATCAAAAGATCTGGAAAAGTTTTCAGTATCAATAAATAGTTTGAAGGGCTCTTGCCTGAACTTTAGATGGAAACAGAGATTTGTTTGACAATCGGGCGCTTGTTGAACATCAGAACACGGTCTCGTTCGCCAAATCGTCTGCATGTCCTCCGGGGCCAACACACGGCGATTGTCGACTAGAAATTTGTGTAAGAGTAAAGTACTTTGTGAGTTTTTACCGAGTCTTGTGCTCACCGCCGAGCACCCTTGTGGGAGATCTCGAGACGGTTGCGGGGGTTGACGACGAATTCCTAGAAAAATTCGATAAGCCTTTGATAGTTTATAAATATTTTAATACTATTGTAGTGATAATTAAAAGCTATTAGCTAAATAATATCTAATTCGTCACTGTCATCAATTCATAAGCCTTATTGGGATCTCAGTTATGGAGAATGAGAATTGGGAGCTACAGAGTATTCGAATTCAGATCGAATTAGGACCCAAACCTAACTGGATTTCTAGCCCAAACCAGCCCAAACCAAACTGGATTTGTCCAAGAGCAGAGGGAAAACTGGCCCGGAAATTGGCCCAGAAATTGTCCCCTATCCATCAGAAAACTGTGCCAGATGGAAAGCGATTACGCGGCCGCACAAAGAACGCTCATAAGTTTACACTGGGATTTTTCTTTTGGCTTGTAGATGGCACAAAAAGAAGAAATTTAGCGGGAAATTTGTACCCTGGGGTTTTCAGGGCCGCGGAATCGATTTTTCTTTTACATTGTGACACAAAAAAGAAATTAAGCTGTAAATTTCGATAATAAAAATTTTTAAAAATTCTATAAGCTTTTGATAACTTATAAATATTTTAATACTATTGTAGTAGTAATTAAAAGTTATTAACTACATAACTACCGTACTTTTTAGTAATCTTGCTAGCCTACAGTATCTATAAAGGTCTGTAGATAGTGCAATTGAGGGTCTACAGTAGATTTGCTTATCAACAAAGCGAGTGTGCAATAGGAAATAGGCAATAGGAAACTAGTACGGCAGCCAGCAGTAACTATCTGTAAGTCATTCATTTAGCAGCAATAAAATATCGAATAATAAAGAAAAATTTCAGGGGACTGAACCCTCGACTTTTTTTGCTTTTACAGGCAATTGCTCTAACCGATTGGTACCAAAAGATGCCTTAGATTTTTAGTTCTTCTTCTTCTTCATTACTTCATTAATACAAGTCCCATACTTACTCGATCTTCTTCAGAAAAACGCACGGTAATTACCGTGAGTCTCACGATAACTACCAGACGGGTATAGGAATGGAATTTTGCAAATCATTGATTTAGCAGCAATAAAGTATCAAATAACTAAGAAAGGTTTCAGGAGACTGAACCCTCGACTTTTTTGCTTTTACAGGCAATTAGAGCAATTCCATTCCTATACCCGTCATTCCTATTGGATAGCTCAGTAGTTAGAGCAACCACTGAGCTATCCAATATCTTCTTGTCAAAGAACAAAAGAGGAAATATAAGAGAGAAGAGAAAAGAAGAAAGAAAAGAAGAAAGAAAAGAAGAAAGTAAAGAAGAAAGAAGAAAGAAGAAAAAAGAAAGAAGAAAGAAGAAAAAAGAAAGAAGAAAGAAGAAAAAAGAAGAAAGTAAAGAAGAAAGAAGAAAGAAGAAAGAAGAAAGAAGCAAGAAAAGAAGAAGAGAAAAGAAGAAAGTAAAGAAGAAAGAAAAGAAGAAAGAAGAAAGAAAAGAAAGTTCAGTAAGTTTGATTATCACTTATCAAAAAATGACCATTGTTTGCATGCAAGATGAATGGATTCTGTGCGGCTGGCGTTGTTGATTGGCATCTCTGCAAAATATTTGTACCTTTTTTTTCTGTTTTTTTTTTACTTGACACGACATTTGACAATTCTTTTGCATCCAATCCGGATTCACTGTGCACTCGCCCTGAAATTTGATAAGCTAAAATAAAGAACTTTCAAAACTTTCAAATGCCTGGATTTCGCCTGCCGTTTTGGAAAAATTTGCCCTGGACGAAGAGCAAGTTTGAACGTTAGACAATAATTGGCAATCATTTTGGTAAATGATTTTGTAAGCATCTTGCCTCATTTTACACAATCGTCAAGCATTTTCACTCACCTTTGATGCCCAAAAGCGACAAAATCGGTGCTCATCACAGCATTGCGCCGTCGCGCACTCTCTCGGCTCGGCTACTGAAATAGTTTCTTAAAATATTACAGATGTAAATCTTTGAGTTAAACCGTCGAAACGTAAACATTCTTATAGCCGACTCTTTTTTTTTTTCAATGTTCCTCTAAAATTCTTTTTCTTTTATCTATAATATACCTAAATTTTCAAGAGCTCAAAAATAAGTGTTTTTTTTGGATTTTCATCTAGTTTTTTTTATTCTATAACTGTTACCGTATTTCTTCGAATAGAAGACCGAGTAAGGAGTATCATCGCGTACTCTTGCGTAGCAGTCCTTTTTAAAATTTCTTTTCTGCATAAAAGCTTTCAATGAAGTGCTATAGGGCTGGAAAATGACTCAAAAATACGACGTGAGCTAACAGATTTTTGAGCCATTTTCCAGCTCTATAGCACTTGATTGAAAGCTTTTATGCAGAAAAGAAATTTTTAAAAGGGCTGCTACGCAGGAGTACGCGATCATACTCTTTACCCGGTCTTCTATTCGAAGAAATACGGTATTTGAAAACTTTTAAAGTTGAAATCTTTAAAAAGTTGAACATTTAGCTATCCGAGAGTTAAAAAATGCGAAGAAATGTGAAAATTTTCATCTAAAGAGCGCTCTTCTATTGGAATAGATATGGTATTTACTAGCAGACACGAGAAATAAAAAATGTTTCAGCTCAACACACTTTGCAGCAATGCCGATGACAGCAAAGAGTAGAACCTCGAACAGCCTCATCGGCCCTGGAAAACGAAAATCACCCATTGATACAAGAAATTAGCATTTACCAATTACGGGGGGTGGGACAAAGGCGACCTTTTTTGCGCACCTGGACATTCGCGCACCTTTTTCTTGCTGGAAAAGGCCTTAGTCAAGGCTGTAGAGCTTCGAAAATAGTTCGAAAATATTTCCATATAAGGGAATCGTATGCGTAGATTCCGAATTTCGACAAATCAGACCTCGCTGACACGTCAAACTTCGGCTAAAAGGCAAAAATTGCGGAAAAGCGTTAAGTTGCGTAGTTTTTGCCTTTTAGCCCAAATTTGACGTGTCAGCGAGGTCTGATTTGTCAAAATTCTGAATCTACGTATACGATTCCTTTCAAGGAAAACATTTTTGAAGCTCTACGACCTTTCCTAAGGCCTTTTCCAGCAAAAAAAAGGTGCGCAAATATCCAGGTGCGCAAAAAAAAGGTCGCATTGTCCCACCCCCGAAAATAAACATAAATAAGTTATTTTAGAAATTAGAAGTAAGATTTTCTTTCCGAACTGCTCTAAACGTGCTTTAAACGTGCTCTAAACGTGCTCTAAAACGTGCTCCAACTACCCTAACCGCAATATTTATTGAATCTTCTTCTTCGAACTAATCACAACTTTTTTTGAGCAGAAAACGAAAAGGTCGCATTTGTCCCACCCCCAATTACGGATATGGTAAAGCGCAGATTTACCAGTAATCTGTCGAAAGTTTACTATTAAAATTTACTATTTTGAAATGCAAAACAGCTTCAATCAAAGCCTCAAACCTCTTCACAGAAGAGTACGCAAAAATTTGCATAATAGGAAGACATGGAAGGTGAAGTATTATATGGATGGGAGAATTGGGGTGAATGAATGAAAAGGATCGAGAAGTTGAGAACAAAATAGGCTTGGGATGGTTCTGGATCGGTCACTCCCTTCAAGTAAGAAAAGAGGGACAAGGAGAAAAGTCAAGAACGGGAAAAAAAGCAATTATTTCTTTCTTTCCGAAGAAAAGCGCTTTCCTGACCATTTCTCACCTTTGCTTTTTGGTTCACTGAGGAAACAAATCTTTAAATGCCACCCTCGGAAGCTAGTTTGATCGGAGAAAGGTCAAACTTTATGGGGAACGGTTTGCATGAGTTCCTATAGGATTTTGTGAATTATTCAACTCAAAATTTGTGGATTGGCTTTGGCTTAAACTCAACTAAGTTACTTAAAAGCCATTGATTTTCGCTTAGATTTAGTTTTGACTTTTGACTTTTTTCTAACTCTGTTTAAACTTTATTGATAAGTTACTAGGCTACCGTAGTCTGTCTGTCTGTCTGTCTGTCTGTCTGTCTGTCTGTATGTCTGCCTGTCTGCCTGTCTGCCTGCCTGTCTGTCTGCCTGCCTGTCTGTCGGTCTGTCGGTCTGTCTGTCTGTATGTCTGCCTGTCTGTCTGCCTGTCTGTCTGCCTGTCTGTCTGTCTGTCTGTCTTGTGGATATTGTAGTCTGTCTGTCCGTCTGTCTGTCTGTATGTCTGTCTTGAGGATACTGTAGTCTGTCTGTCTGTCGGTCTGTCTGTCTTGTGGATATTGTAGTCTGTCTGTCCGTCTGTCTGTCTGTCTTCCTTGAGGATACTGTAGTCTGTCTGTCTGTCTCTGTCAGTCTGTACGGGCATTTTCCCGGCTACCGTAGACCAATAAGGCTACAGTAGATAAAAATGTTAAAGTAAGAGTTCACATTGGAAAAGGAGACTACTTTAGCTTTTAAAGAGAGCACATTTTAAACAATGTCTTTTCTTAAGAAAACATAATAAAAAAAGATTACTGTAGCTTTTCTAGAGTATCTTTTAAAACATATAAAATAATAAGCATATAAGCATATAAAATTTAAAACATATAAAACATCAAGCGAAATGTTCAAGCAAGAGTTCACATTGGGGGAAAGAAGTAAAGAAAGGAGTAAAGAAAGAAGTAAAGAAAGTTTCGTTCTCGAGAGAATCATAAGGGGATCATGATCGACGGGATGAGTAAAAGGAGGCAAAGTGAAGGGGTTAAGCCTCTTTCGGCCATTCTTCTCAACAATAGAATCACAGACAAGTGTCAGACAGGAAAGTCTTTCGTTTTTTTTTCTCTCATAGAAATGATACATCAACATTTGGGGTAGAGGGGTAAACAAGGTAATTGATTCAAAATTTGATTTGATTGTCAAATTGAGATTGTCAAGATGTCAAATTGAGAAATTTTAGTTGATCTATAGTCTATCTATCAACAAAAATAATAATCTACAGCTAAAGTAACTTAGTAAACTTTCAAATTTACAACCAAAAGTACAAAAGCAAGTAGGGAAAAGGGTTTGATTGTATGCTAGGATCGCTATGATTTATGATCATGGCCTATAGTTTCTGTTCAGCGGATTTCAACCTTTAATTCTATACCATTCATTTCAATTCTATACCTATTTCATACTATTTAATCTATTTTGAAAGTAAAATCTGAACAATATATCCTTTCAAACGACCAATATATCTTTTGAAAAACCACAATTTAAAGAAAAGTTGCAGACAAGACAGACAGTTGCAGACAGAAAAGTTGCAGAGTTTAGCAGACAAGTACCAAGAGCCTAAAAAGTTACAAATTGCGTGCTAATTATAAGAACTAATGCCTTGTACTGCAAAAAAAGGTCCTTGAGTTGGACACGCCGATTTATGGGTCGGGGATTCGAACCTACCTTACCGCTTACCTTACCGCTTACCTTACCGCTTACCTTACCGCTTACCTTACCGCTTACCTTACCGCTTACCTTACCGCTTACCTTACCGCTTACCTTACCGCTCACGGGGCGAGCCCTCTACCAGTGAGCTAAACCTACACCTGATCCGTTGCCGCCAGGTTATCCCTTATTCATGGCTTATATAAATCTTCTGGATATTTTATCTTCTGGAAATCTTCTGGAAAACTTAATACAGCCGACTCTCTCTACAACGGAACTCTATATAGCGGAAAATTCTATATAACGGAATGGCATTTTGTTCCCAGCCGACGCTAAGCTATATATAACGGAAAAGTTTTTTTTGTCCCTTCAATTCCGTTATAGAGAGAGTTGATTGTACCTTAAAAGTTAACCAACACAAAGTTTAAAAGTTTACCAACACAATAAAATTGTTACCAGTTTACCAGTTTACCAACACAATAAAATTTTAAAGTTTCTAGTAAGATTTTGAAAAAATCCCAAATCAAGATAGATTTCTAAGTCTATTCAAATACCAAATTTTGTTGATCATCGGTTTTTTTTCAAATGGAGACAGATTAGAGAAGAAAAGAAATGAGAAGAAAGACTGACCCTCATCCTTTGTACCGTTAAACCATCTCAAATAGTTGATTTTTAAAATTTTAAGCTTTTGAAAAGTTTCTCGAAAAAGTTTTTGGTTTATAAGAGTTTCAAAATTCGTTCTAAGCTATCAAAAATCGAATTTGAATGAGATTGAAGAAGCAGAATGAGAATGAAGAATGAATGAGATCAACAAACAAACCAATGCCTTTTTTTACCCATTTTTTTCCTCACAAGAAAATAGTAAAGAATTCTGGATGGAGAAACGAGTTTCCTTTTTGATTTTTCACCGATCACTTTTGATCGTTTCGAATTTAGGGAAATTATTAGAGTTTTTTTGGGTGAAAAAATGAAAATTGTTTGTTTCAAAATGAATCTGAAATTTTAAAACAGTAATTAGAGGACTAAAGATATTGTAAATATTCTTATAAATTAATAATCAACTTCTCAAAAAGTATAAACTTTCAACTTCCAACTACAATAATCCTGTTTTTAGTTTTTACTTTTATTAAATATACCCCTCGCTTACCTCACCGCTCAACGGGCGAACGCTCTACCAGTGAGCTAAACCGACACCTGATCCATTGCCGCCAGGTTACCCCTTATTCATGGCTTATATAAATCTTCTGGATATTTTATCTTCTGGAAATCTTCTGGAAAACTTAATACAGCCGACTCTCTCTACAACGGAACTCTATATAACGAACTCTATATAACGAACTCTATATAACGAACTCTATATAACGAACTCTATATAACGAATTCTATATAACGGAATGTTTGTTTTTGTTCCCAGCCGACGCTAAGCTATATATAACGGAAAAGTTCTTTTTGTCCCTTCAATTCCGTTATAGAGAGAGTTGTATTGTACCTTAAAAGTGAACCAGCACAAAGTTTAAAAGTTTACCAGTTTACCAACACAATAAAATTTTAGTTTCCGAGTTTCCTTTTTGATTTTTCACCGATCACTTTTGATCGTTTCGAATTTAGGGAAATTATTAGAGTTTTTTTTTGGGTGAAAAGATGAAAATTGTTTGTTTCAAAATGAATCTGAAATCTTAAAACAGTAATTAGAGGACTAAAGATATTTTTTTTTTTTAAAAAATACCGACTGGGGCTACCAGTGGTGAATTTATCGCATACACGAAATATATCAATCACAATACTAGGCTATATCTTAACTTAACCCACGTCATGACAGACGGCTCCCTAACCCTAAGCTCAATGGGGAACTAAATAGCTTTTTTGGTGGTGAAGGGAAGATGACGATGAAGGAGTGGCTTGTCACTTTAAAGAACTGGGGCCACAACCACCAGACTGCCCTCCAGAAAACCTCTCAACCCGAAGGGAAAGGAAATCCGAAGGGGGTGACCATGTCGCATGTGGGGTTCGAACCCTCGACCTTCCGATTAAGATAAAAGACACTTAACCAGTCAGCCACACGTGCTTATATTGTAAATATTCTTATAAATTGATAATCAACTTCTCAAAAAGTATAAACTTTCAACTTTCAACTACAATAATTCTGTTTTTAGTTTTATTAAATTTATTTTGATCAAAATTTTATTGAATTTTCATTTGATTCGATGATTTGGTAAAAGAAATATCAAAAAATAGGAAAATAGAGAAATTGGATAAGAGAAAAGACACGATTACAACAGTTTTCAAAAGTTGACACATTCTTTTGAGTTTTTAGGAAGCTTTTTTTGAAATACTGTATCGAGATTGAATATATTTTTACCAATTTCATAGATTTTAGCTTGTAACATGCCCAATAGGCTCTTCGCGAGTGCATCGTCGAGTAATCGTTTTAGTTTGGTTCGCCTTTTAAATAGCTCGAAAAACTTTTGAACCATGGAGTAACGGTGTATTTTAAAAAAAAACTTCCTAAAAAACAATGGCAAAAAAACATTTTCAAAATGATTTAAAACCGGAAGTTTTTCAATGGGAAATCTTTTTGAATAGTGATCACTGTATGGAGATTTGTCGGATGTCAAAAGAAAATATCCACTCTTTTTCTTCAAAGAATTCGACCATTAAATTCGAGACAAAACATCTCAACTTTTTCTTGCGCGAAAAGCTTTCTTCTATTTTTTTTTATCAAATTGCTTGAGAAAGATTTGATAGAAATTCAAAATAGATCTTTAATAGATCACAGATTTTCTTTAAAGAACTAGAAATATTTATTTAAAAATGAACAAAGCTGAAAAAGATTTAGCAAAAGCCATTCATCTAGTTCTTCACAACTTTCAGAAATATCCAGAAGTAGCCAAAGATTCTAGTACCCAAAGATTCTAGTGACCAAAGATTCTAGTAGCCAAAGATTCTAGTAACCAAAGATTCTAGTGACCAAAGATTCTAGTGACCAAAGATTCTAGTGACCAAAGATTCTAGTAGCCAAAGATTCTAGTAACCAAAGATTCTAGTAGCCAAAGATTCTAGTGACCAAAGATTCTAGTAGCCAAAGATTCTAGTAACCAAAGATTCTAGTAGCCAAAGATTCTA